AAGTGTTTTCTGTGATTTTTTTTGAAATTATTTTTTATTGTAAAAAAGTGAAAAAAAATTTTTTTTTTTTCTTTTTTTTTTTTTTTTTTTTAATTAGAATGTCCGTCACAAGCTGCACAGTGGCGCAGTTGGTAGAGCTGTTGCCTTGCAGCAAGAAGGTTCTGGGTTCAATTCCCAGCCCCGGTCTTTCTGCATGGAGGAGTTTGCATGTTCTCCCTGCGCATGGGTTTTCTCCGGGTACTCCGATTTCCTCCCACAGTCCAAAAACATGTCAGGTTAATTGGCCTCTCCAAAATTGCCTCTAGGTGTGAGTGTGTGTATGCATGGTTGTTTGTCTCTGTGTTGCCCTGCGACAGACTGGCGACCTGTCCAGGGTGACCCTGCCTCTCGCCAATACGAACGATAGCTGGAGATAGGCACCAGCAACCCTCCTGACCCCACTAAGGGGCAAGGGTGTAAAAAAAATGGATGTAGTCCCTTCACAATCAGGAGTTGGAATATTAGGGCGGGGGGGGGAAGTCTGTAAGCATTTTATAGCTTATTTCACAATTAATTTATTTTATTTTGGGGCTTTTTTATCATTATTATTATGTTTTTCTTGAACTAATTGTAAAAAATAGCATTTTCCCTTTAATTCGCCGCTGAAGGGGTGTAAAAATGAGTTGGACATTTTTTTATTTTTTTGTTCTCTAGATAAAAATCATGTGGGACAGAATTAAAACTCACTACTGTTAAAGCACTTAAATGTAAGTCAACCGTAATGTGTTGGTTGACTACCAACCCGAATCCCTGTAGATAACGAACGTTAGCTAGCACAAAAACAAACAAAAAACACAGCACAGAACAAATGTATTTCCTCCTTCACAATCTAAACCGTAAATTATTGCCAAGAAGTAAGACGGTTAGTGTCGATAAGGACCGTTTTTAGTGAAATATCCGGTAATTTTGTCATGTTTTGCAGCTGCGAGACGCTTTTAGAACGATGGGACGATCCGATTCTAGCACGTGCCTGGGTGCTCACGTGACATCCGGTCTCTGACACGGTTCCCTCCGTGCTCCATTCACAGTTTGGAAGCAACATGACAAATCTGTCGCCTGCGCACTTTGTGTGTATCTAATCCCACGTGCCTTTTTTGTGCCAGTGTTAATGTAGGGGTTGTGATTGCACTTGGCATCATGAGTCTGCATGTGATTTGTGAGTGTGTGAGCGTGCGCGCGCGCGTGTGTAAACCAGTTCGTCACATGGGTTCACAAAGCGGCCTGAGATCTCATTTGGTCTGATCTGATTTCCTCCCAGCTGGCTGATGTGGGACAGTAGCCCAGATGTTGGAGGGATTATGCTGCTCCCCTGTTTGAGGAGAGAAACGCTGGAACCATTCAGGAAAAATAAACACACACAGATGCCCTCATTCAATATGTTTTTTTTTCTTCCTCTTTAAACATTACGGCTTAATGTCTTCATGTTGTCAACATCGCAATTAATTTTCAATATGAAATGCAGAGTGGTATTTAAGTGTGACATATTAATTTAAGTAACATCTGCAGACAAACACTGATTTTACAGTAAACAAGTCAAGTTTAACAGCTTTTGTTTTTAAAAATTTGAAACAGACATGTAAAATGTGCAATCTATCAAATCAAATCAGCGATGCTTTTGAGTACCCTTTAGTGGTGTTGGGGCCCAAAGCCGTTGTTTTTCTTGCATATAACTTGGGCTGGCTCTGCCAATGAGTGACATGATGGAAAAGAATTGAGCGTACACACAGTACTCCAGAGTAAGTAGAACCTTAAAGCTTCATGTACCTTTTGAAAAATATTTATATATTTTTAACCTATTGATTAAAACTGTCACTATGTCCTGACAAAAAAAAATAAAAAATTCAAGCTATTCCCAGTGATCCCACTGCCATTTTCAGAAATACACCGCTCCTGACAAGAAACAACCAATCAGAGCCAGGAGGAGTGTTATAGTAGTGTCAATCATATTTGTGTACGCGCTGCTCACAACTTTACTCAGCACAACACGTACCGCCGTTCAAGATCAAGACTGCCGGTGTGCTGCGGTTGTGCTAATGGCGGAGAAACAACCTAAAGTCAAAGGGGAACTGGCGATTTCTCTAGTTCTGAGTCCTGAGGGGGAGGAGCTACGGAAGGAAAAAGGGAGGAGCCTGTGCAGTGCACTCACTCAAATTTTCCAGTTTTCTCAGAACTCCCTACTGCAGCAGTCAGGACTGAACTCGTATTTGAGGAAAAGACAACAGCTCTTAGACATCATTCACATCATTTTTATTGTAATAGATCTCTATCATATACATACAGTACAATATGCTTAAGACAGATTTTTATGGCACATCCATTGTACATTTTGCAGTTGCTGGTATTGCTGTGAGGTTACAGTAAAGTGACCACTTCTATCCGTTTACTTAGGTAGAGACAACAGGTGGTTTTGACCTCGTGGGTAAGAGATGATGGTTGCTACAGCAAAAACACATGCACTGTCATCGGTTTATATATTCCACTAGGGGTGGGTCACACATTCAGTTACAAAAATCAACACTTGAGTGGGTGGGGTAGTGTTGTTGTGTTCTTGTAAAAAACCCCTTTTTCGTTGTAGTCTTGGAATACGCTACAGCAGTGGCTACTGTGCTCCTGGAAAAACTACAGGATGGACGTGGTTTGTGTCTGCACCCAGTTTGATTTTATTTAGTTGTTTTTTTGTCCCCTTCCTCACGCGATCTAGGGCTGCTTTTGAGTTTTCAGAGCTGCCTTTGCCAAGTTTAAATTCCGCTTAAGGTTCTTTTTTTTTTTTTTTTTTTTTGGGGGGTTAAAAAAAACAACAGCTCTTGACGATGCAGTAGGAATGACAGGATAATGGTGTACAAGGATCTAGCATTCGGGTCTCTACTGCGATACGACTTTACCATTAATACTACAGGTACGGAGTACTGTCGAGCTATTCACATATGTACAAAGTCTGCAAAAAAAACCCAAAAAACCAACAAAACACAAAAACCAAAGTGTGCGTTTTCTTTCTGCAGACCATGTTCAAGATAAATAAGACATCTAACAATGATTAAAAAATATATCATGTGCCTCTATCATGCTTAAGTGCCGTTATCCGTTTTCGCCCAGTATTTTTCCCTCGTTCAAATGAAAACGGACGTCAAACATTACGATAAAAGATTGTCTAAAAAAAACATTAAAAAAAAAAAAAAAACACAAGTCATGATATGTAACACAATACTAAAGTTTGCCAGCTTTCAGTTGTCAGCTTATTTTAGTGATAGGTGTGAACATTGTGCACATACAGTAGAAGAAGTGTGAAGAAGCGGAGCGGTTTCGAGCTCCTCCTCTATCTGCTTCTATTTTTAAAGACTCAGATTAAACACACCGTCAAGTCAAAACGTCCCCTTAGTGTTCTGTTTAATTTTACTGAAAGTGCTTCATGTACCTCCGTGGAGACTTTTTACGTCTCCAAATGTGCAATTTTTAGCGTTTGGATTCCCTCCCAGCGACCCACCGTTAGGTGTTAATCAAAACCAAACAAGAACGAAGAAAAAATAAACGAAAATAAAACAGTGTGAACTCACGACAACCGGTCGTTGTAAGCTGAATAAAAAGCAGGAAGAGAAGTGATTTGAACGGGAGAGGGGGTGGAGTGTGACTGACACGGCCGCGTGGGGCTATATGACCTGGCAGCAGCTGTGTGGGGTCGGGGTGCAGAGCAGACCCTCCTTGGGGCCTCGGTGAATGTTGACCGACAGCGTCTTCTCGGTCAGTGGCATCTGCAGCGCGCGGTTCTTTATGTTCCTGTGGTTCTCCCGGGCCAAGTCCAGCTCCCCCAGTCTCAGGGTTCCCGAGCAGGGTCCGTCCAGCAGAGGGTCCGCCAGCACGTCCCCCAGTGGCGGCTGGTGGTAGAGGTTCCCCTTCAGCGACGGCCCGCCGAGCAGCGACACTTTGTCCAGGCTGCCGGTGGAGCCGCCCATGCACATCCGCCACATGGGGCGCTCTTGGGAGTCGGCCCCGACGCTGCTGCTGACGCCGACGCTGCCGCCGACGCCGCCGGAGCCTCCACCGACTCCACCGCCTCCTCCTCCTCCTCCGCCGCCCCCGCCTCCGCCCGTCAGGTTGTGGAACTGAGAGCTCAGACACAGACTCATGAGTTTTAGACTCTCCACCAGCCCACTGGCTGCCTTGGCCGTACCCTTCCCCTGTACTGACCCCGAACCTGGACTGGCACAGTTGGGTGGACTTCCCTGTCCTGCCCCTCTTTTTTCTCTGTCCCCTTTCCTGTCTTCCCTATCATCCACCACAGTCAATGCGTGAGGTTTAAAATGACTCTCTGTGTCTTCGTCACTTGTCTCTGAGCTGGGGGTAAAAGTGGCGTTTGTCGGCGTCTTCGGAGAGGATATTAGCGTCGATGGCGATGGTATTCTAGAGTTCAAATTGAGGCTAAGACTTGGCTTAGGAGGACCAAATCCACGTAATTCTGTACTTTCCTCCTCTTCGTCGTCTTCTTTGTCTTCCTCGTGGATCTGGTTTAAAACCGGAGCGCTCATTCGAGAAGTCATACGATTGCTAGAAGAAGACATGGAGGAAGAGGAGCAGGAGACTTTGGAGCGAAGCACTACTTGCGAAGGTAGAGCAGAAGGGGGCAAGCATTTATCCTCTGCTCCTTCTTCTTCCTCATCCTCCTCGACGCTGAACAGACTGGGACTTCGTGGTTTGCACGGTCCCACAGACCCCAGGGAGCCCAGCCTGAGGGGGTTGGAGTGGGGCTTCCCTAGGGGTCTCAAACTTTTCTCCTGATTTTGTCGTGCAGGCTGCGGTTGGCTGGAAGGTGGCGTCTGGATCTCCTGCCGCTGACTGAGGTCCAGCAGTGCAGTTTTAGGCCTTGGGCCTTTGTGGAGGCTCTCAGCGCTGCGGGCGGGGGACTGGGGCCCTCCGGGGTGGGATATGGCAGGACCTCCAATCCCGTCACTGACTTCCTGGTGAACATCTACTCTGGTAGGCCAAGATTGCCTGTAAAGGATTGCACACAATAATGTTACTGAAAAATACACATCAAAGGTTATTTACGTTGATCTCAGATGAATAATTAGAGAGATTAAAACCTAATGTCAACTAAGCATGAGAGATACCAGCAAAAAAAACACATATGTTCCAGATTTAAAAGCTAAAAGACAGAACCAATACAAAAAAGCTATCATATAAGTGCTTGTTCAAAGTAGTTAAAAAACAACAAGAAAATCGCAGAATCATTTTACCTCAAGCAAAACAACAAATTTAACCTAAGAGGAAAATTCAAACCTTTTCCATTCCTTTGACGTAGCCAAACAAATCCATTTTCTGGCTTGAGCCAGTGAATGCTAACAAGCCGTTAGCTTCTTTCAGATAACAAGGTTTCTTTTCCTAACATATTGTTTAATAATATTAATAAAAATTAACAGTTACATCCTATGTAGTTTATCTGAGAGGTTTATGGGCAAACTAGAAAGTTTCTGCTTCTGCCTACAGGTTCCTATTCACTATTATTATATAGTTTACATTTAACTATTCCTCAATAAATGGTGCTAGACCAGCAGCTCTTTATGCTAAGCTGTGCTAGCTAGAGCTTAGTTTGCTCTCAGATAGACATTATTTCACCAGCACATTCTTTAAGAGCATTAATAGGCTAACAGAATTCATTTTTATAAATATGGCTTAAAAATGTATATTTACAAAATATATTTTATATTTGACATAGCTGATGTTTGAAAATACCAAATCACTGTTCCAGCACTAGCTCTTAGCCTTTGCTTTGCAGTTTAAAGAAACTCAAGAATACATATGTAAATTGGAAAGTTTCAGACTGATGCTTTATGCTTTTTTTTATTTTTTAGCAATAATATTTTTTAAATATATTATTTAAATACTAATCTTTAACACAGAGAATTAGGTGCGGCACCCATGATAATGCTAAACTGTGCTAAGTAGCTGCTTCCCAGCTAATTTCACAAACACATCAATTCTAATAAAAAATTAATTGATTTCATTATAATTTAAATTAAAATCTTTTCTATGTCTGATTAAAGGTCACCATGTCTTTCTCTCTAACTGAATAAACAGTGTTGCTTTTTCTTCTTCGCTGTTTCTCCAGAGCTGCGGCTCTTTTCTGTCTGCTCTTCATTCCCCGCTCAACAAACAGCTCTGCCTTTCCATCTTCTGTCGGATTTACTTTCTGGAGATTGACCGTAGGCGACGTTGCAGAGACAGCTTCCTGTCCGCTTCAGGAAGCGCGCGCGTGTGTGTACGTGTGTGTGTGTATAACGATGTGGGACGTATATATTTACCTGAACTGGGCCTTGCTCGGGCTGGGGGACCTTGTCTGGCTGTGCTGCTCTTTCTCCTGCCTGTCCCTCAGCATCCTCTCTGCCAGCAGGAAGTAGGTAGCTGTGATGTGGTTGTATTGGTTCGACTCCAGAGCCCTGAGACAGTAGTTACAAAAACTAAATCAAGAATTGCCCTTGCATATCAACTTCTTCTTCTTCTTTGTTTTTTTGAATAACCACCATAACCCAAGAGGTCATTGAATTCAACATGGCAGAAACTCACAATTAGCTGCTTCGTTGCATTTTAAACAGTTGATGACAGTCAATTAAGCTTTAGTGGAAATTATTTTGCTACGTGTGTGTGTGTGCACGTTTATGGTTCGATCGGAGGGAGATACCTACTCGGTTATGGCGTCTCTGTCGGCGATGCCCCCCAGCACCATGCGCTGAATGATGGAGCCGTGCTCCTCCTCCGATAGGCTGCGGTACGACACCAGGGGGGTGGACAGCTTGGTGGCCGGGGAGGGGTCGACGCCTTGGAGCCATTCGTGGCCCTCGATCTGCTCTAGCGTTGCTCGTTTCTTTGGGTCTCTCTGTAGCATGTGGCCTATTAAGCTGGAGGGAGGCACAGTGGAGATTAGCATCATGGAGTTTAAATCAATGATTTCCAAATTAAAAAAATTAAAAAGGCAGATTAGGTGAGGCTTTGCTTCTTATGAAACTTCTTCCCAACTTTATCCCTGAACCGATCTGCTGTGTTCTCTGACTTTGATAAAGCTTCATATTCCCTGACAAACATTGACAAAAAGATCCACCATAAGATTAAAGTAGGCTGGTCAATAAATCAATAACAATATATATTGCGATAGACACGCAATAAATATTGATAGATAATACGTCTGATAGAATATTCAATATTTATTAATATTCACTGAATTCTGATGTTAAGTGCCAAGGTTAAAAAGGTATCAAACTATTCAGAGCAGGGTACTTGGTGCACTTTATTTACTTTACAAATGCATGTAAGCTACAGTTTGTACTGTTTCAATTAAAAGAAACATGTTTTCTCACCACTTTGATTTATCTTGTCCAGCTGTCGACTTTAAGTCTGTGTCCATGTCCAACCAGAGCCAGGTATTGTGTAGTTGGTGCAGGTATTGTGTAGTTGGTGCTTTTAATCAGTTTTCAGTTAAATTAATTCAATCCAAGTCTATAACAGTCACAACATGTCACCAAAATCACTCTGTCCCTCTAAAATCTTTCAGAAAATCGCAAAAGTGTATCGAATTGTATCATTTGCGGACTGTTGCAATATATATCGTATTGTGAGCAGAATATCGTGTATCGTATCGTGAGATTATTGTATCACTACAGCCCTAGTTTATATAGACAACAAATTTACAAATACACTAACCTTTGAAACACATTATTTTAAGTCAAAAGTTATTGCTAAGACTACTGTTATCCCAGCATTCTTTTACATTTGTGTTTTCTGCTCAACCGGTTTAAAACATGAACTCATACGACCATCACCCCAGCAGATATTCCATGGCTAAATTGTTCAGTCACACAAGCAGGAGGAAGTCCTGTTTCTCCCCCCCAAGGCCTCATGGGAAACCAGGGTAAGTGCCACCGTTTGAAGCATTGTGTTAACGTCCACACAGAATAATAAAGTCAAGGCCAAACACAATGCGCGTTCCGGGCTACGGCTGCTCGAAATTCTTTCTTTCTGTCTGGATGCGACATTAAACCCTCACTGGGCTCAAAGAAAGAAAGAAAAAAAACAACAAGAGAAGAGGCGATTTGAAAGCGGGTGCATTAGTTCCACTTAACGCAGCGCCGCATCCCTGCTGGAGCAGCTCGCTCGCTGCAGCAGCAGCAGCAGCTGGGTGGAAAAAAAAAGCAGGACACAACGAAGAACGGCCACACCCTTCGCTCCTCTGCTCTGCTCTCCTTCTTCACACATCTCCAAACATGAAATATGCAGCACCTGCAGAGTACTCTGTCCATCTGTGTGGGTTTGTGTTGCCCGGGCATTACTCACTCTCTGCAGGCAGGGGAGATGTGCGGAGGCACCGTGTATCGACAGTCCATGATCATGGTGAGGGTCTCGCTGTCGTTGGCCTCCTGGAAGGGAGGCTGACCACACACCAGCATGAAGAGGATCACCCCCAGACTCCAGATATCTGCACAAACACACACACACACGGAGAGGGAACACTGTCAACGGTGAAGCAAGAAGGGTTATTTTTAAAAGGAAGAAAACACAAAGTGAGGCATGTATATTTTCACTGGTTAGTGACCTAGATAAGATACAGATGCGCACACATAGACACTAGGTGGTGCTAGAGCTTCTACCTGGTTTCCTCTGAACAAAAGAAGTGCCCTTCTGAAATTGTTTGTGTTTTTTATTTCCATCAGAAAACATATGGCTATGATCTAAAATTAAGGGTGTACAGATGGCAGTTTTCTGGCCAAAAAAAAAAAGATCAACAGTAGCTGCGTTTCCATTACAAATGTGCACAAATCTTTGTCTGTATTCCTCTAATGTGGGACAAAAAACAACAAAATTTTACAATTGCGGTGTTTCCATTAAATGACAAACACAATTAAAATCAGATGTGAATAAGTTTGATCACGCAATAAGTCATTAAACATGCCACGCTGTGATCATCCTACTACTTCCCGTTTGTCTTCTTCTTCGTGGTTTTCGGCAGTAGTAACATGAGGTTGTTGATCACGTGACTGGTGACTTGCGACAAAAGCGTTTCCATTGCAGTTTTGCAAAATAAACCGATTTCGATACGTCCTCCCCCCCAAAAAAAAAAACAGTCTCATCATTCTGACGTAATATTTTAGCGAAAAACAAGTTTTTTTCTTTTTTTTTTTTAATTGGTATGTTTCCATTAAGCAAATTTATTTTTTAAATGTCAAGTTGTGCAAATGTATGGTCAATGGAATCAAGCTAATGTCGACAAAGTCTCCAATGCCACCGGAAAAAAAAGTTGCTAGATTTGTGGCTGGTTGCGTTTTGCAAATAAATCTCACTAATCGATAGGCCTGCTGATAGATCCTCCACTTGGAATAGGCAGATATACATGACGGTCAAGCTGTGTCATAAATCTCACACTATTAAGACTGCTGGCGGTTCCATGTGCTGAACAAAGTGGCCTTTTGTTTTTTCCACTTGCCCTACAAAACATCTGTGCACATCATGCATATATATATATATATATATATATATATATATATATATATATATATATATATACACACACATATGAGCTGTCTCCTTCCTGGGTTTAAGTGGAGTGTGAAGCACATTCGATCAGAAACCATTTCCATAAATATGTGCCAGCTCAGGATGCGTCTAAGCGAAGACGAGGCTCTGCACGGCTGCCTGCAGCCAGCGGCGCGCTCGCATGTCAACACACGCACACGCACACACATCCACTCACATACACATACATACATACATACACACAGTCGACAGGAAAGTGGGTTAACGTGTTCATCCCTCAGAGCTTCATGCAAATGCTAATTTCATGGAACAGTTCTTTTAGTTTGATTATTTAAAAAAAAAAGAAGAAGCAGCACAGCTTTCTGTGCTCAGGGCGGTCGCTGCTGCTCCGGTCAGCAGGATGCTCCACTGACACACATATCACACACTCGTACGCCGTCTCCTGTAGAAGCGCACAATCAGTGACTTTTCGGCCCCTTCTCAGCAAAATCCGACTGATTTAAGGAGGGAGGGTTTCTTTTCTTCCTGCTTTAATTAACTAGAGTGCTACTTCTTAGGTTACTGTTTAAACATAAAAAAAAAAAAAAAAAAAATCTATATGGCTATTAGCTGAAAGCCTGCCCAGATACATTCAGATTGCTGTGAAAGACTTTCAGGTGAATTAGGTCGCAGATGTTCTTCTTATCAAACATAATGGTTTGACTAACTTTTGTCTATTTTTTTTTATTATTTAAATGTGTCACAGTAAAGATCAGTGAAGGATTGATCTCCAGGTTTAAGAATTACACCCGTCAGCTGTAAGAATTAGATGTAGACGACATTAAAGTGGCAACAATGTGAGCTCAAAAGAAATCAAGAAAGACTGAGAGACCGGGCAGCGGCCCAGGGCGGCTTCTCGTCTCGGGGGCGACATGAGCTTCGTTGTTTGCGGTTAGCAGCTGAGGACGACATATTTAACTTTCTGCAAAAAAATATTACAGTTTTTTAAGATTTGAATTTGTCTGAAACTGAACTACAACATAGGAAAGTGAAACTAGAATTACTAACGGCAATGATCTTATGATGTAACGTGGGTCGTATTAAATAGCCATTAACTAATAAGTGTTGCATGGCCTTCCATTGTGGATATTATATTTACCAATATCATAGAGATTTCACATATATTTTTTGTTTCATTCTCTGCTTCAGTCAAACAGCCCATAAGCCTGCACTGTGTCACACTTTCATGTTTTTCAGAAATTCTCAGAGTGTATGGAAATTGAAATGATGTGTCATGGTTGGTTGAAAAAGCAGGGAGAAAAGGGAGGTGCTGAATGTTTTTCGCCCAGGGTGCCGAACAGGCTAGGACAGCCCCTGGCTGACAGAGGCCATTCATTTAATTCACTGTGAATGTTGTAAAAGCTGCCATGGTGCGTTTCAAAAGAACCTCCTAAACAACTATGCACTTTTTTCATTAAACGTGCTTGAGGGTGGAAATTAAAACCCAACAGAAGCGACAGCTCTCTTTTTTAAAAGAGAGGTTGATTCATCCGTTATTCCCCTTGACAAAACGTGTGCTTTTGCAACTCGTAGCAGTCTGAATGCGGAGGAGCCCTAGTGGATTTATCATCCTCGGACCCCCGGTGATTTATCTTTGCGTGTCTCCGCTTCGCTCCAGTTTGCCAGAACACGCCGGAGAATCCAATCTGTCGGAGTAAAAATGTGTTGCCTCACAGTGAGCGGCGGCGGCGTCTCATTCTGCTGATGGAGGGAGCGAAAGCTGCTGCGGCCGCCTCTTTACCCCCCACCCGTAAGCGGCGTAGCCTAGCAACGGCAAGCTGCGCTCCCTCATTACTTACGTCAGCTGTTCGTTCGAACTTCCTTTCGATAACTTTATTTGTAAACCAGATGGTTGACAGACTGTAGCGTCGTACTGAAGGCTGCTTCGTGTTGACGGCTCTCAGAGTGAACGTTCCTTTCTGCAGCCCAGAATATTGCTCTTTATATAACTGCTTCTCGAAATAAACAACAATAAGCAGTCCTTTGTGTGCTGATATTTTTAACCCCGCGCCTAAATGAGCTAAACTCAGCCTCGTCCTGCTGATTGGGGAATAAATATATTTGTCTCCCTTGATTATAATTTATAAAACTCCTCCTGTTCAATTTAGATTTTATTGCAGTAGCAAAAATCACACATCAAAAATATTCAGAGTACATTTATTTGGCGTGAAAAAGAAAAACTGTACTATGTTGAGGAATATTTCTCTCTTTTTTGTCCTTCATCTATAATTGGAACAGGTTCATAGGATCAAAATGAGCCAAACCAAGAAGCTGAAAAAAAAGGGGGGGGGGGGGATGCCGACACATTGTTGAATTTGCCAAATCTTATTATGCAACAATTCAGTCGGACACTTTAATTAGGCAAACACATTCAGAAGACAGTGAGCTCTTTTAAAAGATGAGTTTTGCTCAGCTTTTTAAAAGATCGGCAAACTGTGATTGGCCAAAAAATCACAATCGGCAGTATTAGATGGGTATCTTTAACAGATACCCATCTAAAAAAGATTATCATCTTGATCTCTTTGAAAGATCAGGAGCCTTAAACAGATATGAACCTTTTTCCATTATCTTGAAGCATGGTTCTCTCACTGTGGAGCAAGAACTACATGACCTTTGGTTGTACTCTGAAAATACATCTGCCAGGTAAACACAAACCGGCAAAATATAGCGCTAATGCTTACACAATAAAAGTTGACTTTATTTTAGGATTTCTATTTTTTTTTAACCATCTCTACCAATAGCGCTAATAAATATGCCTGGCTGCATTATGCAACACATAATGACACAAAATACCCCCATTTCATACACAGACGCAACTCTGAATGATGCATGCGCCTTGCTTGTGTTCTTCGGGAATGCTATTAGGTAAGTTATTATTTTTAAGAGCAGCTTGAGCTTTTTTGAAGAGGAGGAGCAGAGCTATATTTAACTTCCCATTTATCGGAGACAAAAAGAAAGCCCACACAGCGGAGAACATCAGAGAAGAAAAAGCACTTATCAGTCCAACATCATACACTCCAAAAGACAAAAAAAACACAAAAATACAAATCTCCGACAGCCTTCGAGGTTTTCTGAGAAAAACTGAATTGTAAATGCTCTCAATTAATGACACAATCCTTCTCAAATAATAGCATTATTATCAAGCAAATAAGCATAGACAAAAACAAACTAATTAATAAAATGACGATAGAATAGATTCCACTCCTAATAATAAAACAGAACATCTCTAGCAGCAACATGGCCATCAGCAGATGCGACACAAAATTCACAACATTTTAGGCTTTTGAAAAAGTAATGACGACGACAAAGAATCCTCATCGATGAGGCGAGAAACAACAAATGTTCCCCAATATTAGGTTTTGTTAAAAAGATTGGACAATGCCCCTGCCCTTCAGTACCTGCTAGGTAACCGTGAGTCAATAAAAGTGGTCACATCATAACCAGGGTCCCTGATGCATCATCATACCCCCTCTTCCCCGCTCCCCTCCTGGCTCGTTCCACTAATTGGAGCAAGTCCAAATTTGCCTCCTGATGGGTTTAAAAGCACATCAGTCCCAATTTCCTTAAAGATCTTAGAATTAAAAAAAAAAAAAAACAGCGAGCACCAGAGGGCTCTGCTCATTATGAGGTTTTTTAAGAGATAATTTATTTTGGCGCAGGTATGAGAGTGAAATCCTACCAGAAAAATAAAAGGAAGACTCTGCAGAACCGGGGAGGAAAGGTGAAGATAAACTAGAAAATAACCCGCCAAGTGTTTACACAATTTTAAACTGTAGGGCATCAGAGTAATACGATTTTAAACGGATTTTTATGAGTGGGAATTATTGCTGATTTTTTTTTTCCGGCAATAAATTCAACAGAATGTAAATATTTCTTTTTTTTTTCTTTTTTTGTTTAAATGTCTGAATTTTACTTAGATTTTCAAACCTCCTGGTATTTCAAAGACTTTATGATACCACACAGTTTAAGCAAAAGTTCAAAGTATTTAGAAAAGAAGAAAATGATGGGTTCTAAACTGGTCTTGACAGTGGTAATTACATAAATTAATCTGTTGTTATCACGTCAAACCCACCTGAAATGTTTGTTGCTAGATCAACCAAATCGCAAAATTTCATTTAATGTCCCAGTAAAGCTTCACCTGGTAAAAACTAGCCTCTTGTTCTACGCTTCGCTTCGTACAGAAGGTCTGGACCTTAGAATGTTTAGGAACAATTGCTTGATGGAGGCGTGGACTTTGTGGAAGTTTCAAACAATCGTACTGGATTTTAGCCAGTCGCTAACATTTGGCCATGACGTATGTAATAAGCCAGGGCAACTGTGAAGAAGCTATGCTATAAAGTTTACTGGAAATGACATGCACTGTAAACAGCCTTACTATGAAGACTTCTGTAGAACCCCAAGGGAGGAGAGCCATTTTTGCCAGTAATAAAATGTCTTAAACATTCCCCTTGCTCAAACATTAATTGCTCAATATTTAGAAGCGTGGCCAACATGGACTGAATGGCTTTGTTTACTTCCTCTACTGCTAACTACAACCATAAGCAGACAACGATTCAAAAACAGAGCAGAAACTCTACGTCATCGTTCACAACTCCTCCTTTTGCGCACTGATCGGCCTGGTTGAAATTCTAGCAGAGAAATCTAACTCAATGGGAGAAATCTAAGAAGCAGCACTGAAGGGAGACGAGAATCAAGCCAGATAGCAATGGCGAGGTTAAGTAAAGTTGAACAAACTAAGTTCCTCATTGCAGGACAGAGTAAGCCATTTTCTACCCTAAATAGCTCATGTCTAGTGGTTCTTATGGAGAACTGAAAAAAAAGCAAAGCTATGCTGTAATTCTCTAGCAATGAGCTTCGTAGATTTTTTTCCAAGTTTGTTAGTGAAAAACAATTATTTCTTAATGTGGCATTTCTTTCCCCTCAACTGAATAAATGCACTGAAACTGAAGGTTGGAGATTATCTTTACAAAAGGGTGGCAACTATTTTACATGCGTCATTTCTTGTGCATGTAGCATTTTTTCTTTTTTATTGGAATCTTCAGCTGTGACTTATTAACCACTCTGTTACATGAACTCCTGGTCGAATTATCTCGTGTTCTCAAGGTCTTCCTTAGCCGACCGACAACCTCCGAGGGAGCCCGGCTCGATAAAGCCCGAGTGTTAACAGCCTCTTTATCTCTGCTGCAAACTGGGCTCCGTGCCACTTGGCGTGACTTGAGAGGAACCTCGGCGTCCTGCGGATCTGTCGGCGTTGTTGCTCGTAACCCCCAAACAGGTAACCTGGAGCCCCTTAAATGTCAGGACCGCCGGCCTCCGTCCAGACTGCTCTGCATCAGGCTTTACCCGCTGCTACGGCGGGGAACGATATTACATGCCGGCTGGGTGGATAATCCCAACAATCAAAACATCATCATCTCAGCCGAATGAACAATAACGCAGGGGCGATGCAGCTGCTCCACAGCACAGAACACGCTCACACACATCCGTGCACTGACAATATACACAAACAAGTCCTCAGACAGAGCACACACATCCAACCAAAGAGCACTATGATTACTCTACTTTTTGGAATATGGAAGACGCTCGGCAAAAAGGGGAGAGAGAGAGAGAGACAGATGGAAATAGCCACAGCAAATCCACTCAGTCAGAAAAACAGAAACTGCTTCTCTCTTGCTGCCGCCTTTTCTTTCCCCTGCATTTGCTCTGACGCAGTGGCCTCTGGGCAGACACAAGAACTGCTGATGCCTCTCCTCGCTCCGTCTACTTCCCTCTTGTTCCTTGCACCTCTTTCTCTCCCCTTGTAGCGAGGGGTCTGTGATGCTGCCGTTTTGATTTGGTTTCTTGTTACGATTTCATTTGATACCCAAATACTTGCTATCTTTGGGAGAGATGCGTCTTTGCGGTGGAAACAAAGACGGCAAAGCTACTTTAGGTGCATGCAGAAGAACGGAAAGCTGCTTTGTCCCGATCAGGCAGATATATTGTTATCGGTAGAAGGGCCAATACTGTTAATTAAGGGAAAATACAAACAAAAATAGATCACAGGTGTAAGAGTGCATTGTTGCTGATCACCTGCTTTCTAAGCTGCAACTTGCACATTCTGGATATTGAACACCTCCGTCTCTTTTATCAGCTGGCTGATAAGCTGCCAGGAGGCCAAAGTAGTCAGCAGAGTCCATCCATAAAGTGGAAAAGGTCAAACACTGTGATCAACGCTATTACTCTGGGTCATTTTAGCCAAAACACCATCGCTTTATTTATTTTTAGCATCAGCAACAACTGATTCCAATGGCTGCTGGGATCAGGCTAGCCTCCTTCCCACTGCGGACTTACCGACTGCCGGAGCGTCGTACTCGTCCCCCAGCAGTATCTCAGGGGCCGAGTAAGCCAGCGAGCCGCAGGACGTGTTCAGCGTCTTTCCGGGCTGGAAACGGTTACTGAAGCCGAAGTCGGTGAGCTTGACGACGCCCTGCTTCTCGAAGAAAACAACATTTTCAGGCTTCAGGTCCCTGTGAACCACGTGGAGCCGGTGGCAGTAGGAGATGGCGTGGACGATTTGGGCGAAGTAGCACTTGGCCACCTTGAAAAAGATGAGAGATGAGGGAGAAACAGTCAGAAATCTGGTTTTATTGACACCTTTCAGTTTACCTGACGGGCATTTCAACCGCCTAAAATAAACTGCAGAAACAGACAATTACCATTAGCCGTTTAGCATGGTTAGCATGTGCACTGTATGTCACAGTCATTATACCTATGCAACATGAGGGTGTGGCTGAAAGATGAAGGTTGTCATTTTACAAAGCGTTTAAATAATTAAATTAATTACATTTATCTCAGCCAAATACCCGTCAGAACGTCTGAGTTTGATGTTTAAACATTTTCCCCAACATTATTTGAAGCTAATGCAAAATATTTCTTTTTTAGTATTTTTTGCTCAGAAACAACATGTAAGAAACTAAAGAAAATAAACTATGCTAAGCAGCTAGTTATATCTAAGCAATAAACAGCTAATTAGTAAGAAAGTTTAACATCTCTTAAAAGCTGTTGAAAGTGGAAAACATAGGGTCAAGAACATAATTTCATACGATTACGTGCTAAAGTGAGCGACTTTCTGTATGTGATCTTCTAGAAACCAGATTTGTTTTGTTCACGTTGCTAAAATAGCTACAACATTTTGGTGGGAATCAAGCTAGCACACGGTGAAACTTTGGTAGAAGTTACAAAGAAATGCATGTAAAATAACTGATGTCAGAGAAAAACACAAGTGTGACATAATGTCAGACATTAAAATATGAAACATTTGCTGGTTAACCTGCTGAAAAACAAGCAGTAAGAACAGAGAAACCTGCTAACTAGCTATCAGCAAAAAGACAACAGCTGTTAGCAAGAGAAACATTTTAGCATGAAGCTAAAAAAGAAGATTGTAATTGTACTTTTGGAAGTAATGTGTGCTATTCCAAATTAATAATAGAGATAACTATCAGAATGTAGACTTATCTGCAGAAACAAGTCATAGTTCTTATTACTTTGCTAAAATAGCAGAACATCTAGGTGAGAAACAACTAACCCAGTCCAAAGATAGCATGAGGAAAGTTTATTGCATAGAGTTTTAAGTGACTCTATGCAATAAGAAAGTTTCCATCACCCCAGATAAAAGTGTCAGCACTGCTTTAAGTACTAGGTTTACAGCTATTTTTTTTCCAACTTCATTCCAAGCTAATGTCAGCTAGTAAAGGAATTCTTTATATGGCCACAGACTCCGAGTACAATATACCTACAATGTAATGGGAGCACAGCTAATGGGGCTCTGTGGAGCACTGCAGCAGGCTTCTGGAAGTTAGCCAGTCAGAGGAAAGTGGGCTTAGCTGCCCATAAAGAGGAAGAAGCTAAAACATGTTGCTTCAGCAATAATATCAACTAAAAACTTATAACCGGCACAATATACATTTTTAGAACCCAATTCATTTAACTCCAGACTCAAAGAAACAATACAATGTACTTTTTAAATTCTAACCCTGTTCTCATATGCCAAGGAAAGCAAATGATTTCAAAGTAGATTCAAGACACTGGATACCTAAATAAGAAGAAACGGTTCAACTAAAGTCTATTGAAACTGAACAACTCGTCCCTTTCTGTGCCCTGACTTGCAGTGCTGCTATGCTAAATGCCACAGACTTACCCCTGGGGGTCTTAAACTAATGAACTTCAAAGGATCTGTCTGCACAATGCATTCATGAGCCCCAGACAAACATTGAACTTTGTTGCACTGCCTTCAACCAAAAACTTTGTTCTCACTTCAAAACACGGGATTTTAATCCATCCAAATTCCCATTTGCAGATTTTCCTCCTGTCCCAAGATAATGAGTATTAATTTTGAACTTTTTTATCTCTCTTAATTCTCTTGAGGCGAGTCCAAGGTCAGACGATGACATGGAAGACAAACGATGCATTTCTGGTTAATAGGTTGACGAGCTCTTGGTAACCACACAGTCCAACGCCGTCCGTCTTCTCCACCCCTCTCACCTCTTCACTGAGGCCTCCATCGTGCTTCATGATGCAGTCGTACATGTCTCCCCCGTCGCCCAGCTCCAAAATGAGGTAGAGCTTGGTGGCCGTGTCGATGACCTCGTAAAGGCGCACCACGTTGGGGTGCTGGACCATTTTCATGCATCTGACCTCCTGGAAAAGGTGGCCCCGCGCCACCGGGTCCAGCTTGGTTTTGTCTATGACTTTCACTGCAACCTGGAGGAGAGTCAGAGGGAGAAGTCAAGAAACAAACTACTTTTACAATTGGGAAATTGTGTTTTTTCGACACATATATTTGCACTAATTTGTAATGGATTTGCAGCTGCAGCGATACACCTTTATGTGCTTCATGTACAAGTGTACCTTCTCTCCGGTGAATACGTGTCGTGCCAACTTGACCACTGCGAAGTGTCCCCGGCCCAGCGTCTTATCGAGATCGTACAGCCCGGCGATCTTCCCGTCATGATGGCGCTTCAGCCCTGACATGTCTGAAGGATCAGCCTTTTGTTGCCTGCTGCTCTTCAGCTGTCACTTCTCCATTTCTCCTGAGTCGGTTGAAGTTAGATAAAGTTGTTTTGGGAGCTTTTATTTTGTTCCCGTGTCTTGAGGTAGTTGTACAGAGCCTAGCGATTGGCTGGGATCTCCGCTGTTGCGCTAAATATTCAGGCCGGCACTCGGCTTAACTCAGTCCCATCAAGTGGTGATCTGAGGGTGAGGAAAGTAAAAAGGAAAAATATTAAAACTACTACTACCCCAAATGTGACAATAAGTGATGAGTAATTTTTCACTCAAAGTACAGAAGTCTACAGCTGTAGCTAATCTGTTAAAAAATGAAGTCTGACCTTTTATTCTTTAAAACTATAAAAGTTTTACTTCCTTGACCCACACATAGAAATAAAAATGTGCATTTAAAAATAAACGTTAGATAAAAATATATACTTAACCTCAGCTTAAGTTCACCAAATATGCAGATGACTCTGTACTATCAATGGCTTTTTGACATGTTAGGTATTTTTACAGTAAAGTTTCATTCAAGAGTGATAATAAATAAACACTGACTCTCTAATACCTGAGGAAACATTTCTTAGTTTTTGGTAATATGCATCTATCGCTATGGTTACCAAACCAGGTCCTGGGTTCAGTGACATGGTTTGGTCAATTTAAACCAGAATCCAAACAACCATATTTTCCCATAAATATCACCTGTTATTTATGCTAAATAATAAAAATAAAACTATGATAAAGCAGGCTTTTTTTTTTTTGGCTTGAGGTAAAGTCTTCAAAAACTGGTGGTCAAAACCATGAAGGCCCATTAAAACGTTGTGTAAAATCATAACATATATCAACTTGAAAACGCCAGATACATTCATTTGAAGTTTAATTTCTTGATTGAATAAATGACATGAACTGGAAAACCAAAACACAAGCAGTTATCTAAAGGAAAGTGATATCTAGTGGTCAAGTTGTGGAAGGAAACCAAAACTATAAATGCCTCAAATGTACCAGTTGGTGAAAAATGTTTGTATTGATAAGCGGATGTACATACAAACATAGATTGTTAGATTGTCAACCTAAAAAGCTAAGCTGAAATAATGAAGTGCTTAGCAATAATAAAACAGTTTTACTAGAATTGACATCAACTTACACAGACAATTCTGATCAAAGTCTACTTTTCTGGAAAACAACTCACACCGTTTTAATCGCAATATAAATTAAACTCAATTACTTCCATTGCCATGATTTATCATTTATCCCTTATTTTCTCTCTCTTTCTACCAAAAACTAGATGATAAAAGTCCTCAGTTTGGTGCTTTGGTCTCAACCAGCCCTTTTATTTTAAAGGGCAATTTTATTTACAAAGACTTCAAAAATGAATTTTATTTGTTGTTTTGTTTATTTATTTTGGATATTTAAAATGTCTTCCAGCTCCAGTATTAAATGTTCATTAGAATTTAAAGTTTACTAATCTTTGACAATGAGCTCTTGCAATATTATTTTGCCATTACCATTATGTTACTTTAAAATAGTCTCAAAACAGCAATATTATCGTTTATTGCGATAACTTCAGGAACAACTTATCGTCCTGCAAAATGTGTTATCGTGAGAGGTCTAAAACTTAATCCAATTGTTGCTTTGTTATACTCCTTTAAAATGAGCAATCATCTCCATGTCTCATCAGCTGTTTTTCTTTTTTTGAGTTGCATGAATGCATATTTCCTCCCAGCAATGACTCAGACGCTGTGCTCTTTTGAGACGCTTCGTGTCTTGCTCACTTCTAACCTTTTGCTCGGATCATTCATGCTCTCCGGTCGTGCGGCATATGGCTTCATCACTCTGATTGTGAAACAAAGAAAAAAGAAAAACCCTGCAGGCAAGGATGCCATTCCACTTCCAGGAATTCACCTGCGTGCCAAGATCAAAACTTGCAGCACGAAACACAAAATGTACCAGCGAGGAACATTCCAGGGAGGTGATGTTTTCCGAGGCGTGCCCCGTTTGTCGACGGGCTCCGAGAAGAAGACAACATAAAACTAAATAAAGGTTGCCAAGGAAGCACACCTGTGGGCATAACTAGTGGTAATGAAGAAATATCTGCCATCTGTGGTTATATGGAAACTTGTGGTTGCTCAAAGGAAGCTATAAAAGGCTCGGAAAGCATTTGGCCTGATCCAAAACTGGAAAACTGTAACTGTGAGAAAAAGAGTTTGTCAATTTTCCAACTAAACATCATGCAGACAAACACATTTTGAGAAAAAAATAAAAAAAAAAAAAAAAAAAAACTCTTGTATACTCTCTCTCTCTCTCTTCGAAACGGCCAATCAAAAGCGTGTTGATTTTTCCAGTAACGAGGCGATGAAAGGACAAAACACACACACACAAACACACACTCAGAGTGCTGATGATGGGCCAGGCCAGGTGAGATCAATGCTTGCTGCGGCGCGGCGCTCGGCGGCCGAGATGGCCTCAGTCAAACCCGCTAAGTATTCGCAAATGGCTGATCTGCCGGTCTAAATCCAGACTCCTTATTGGCCTAAACGAGGAGTGTTTAATCACTTGATTGGCTCAGAGCAACCGATTGACAAATCTGCAAACTAAGAATGAGGTTAGGAATTGTTAATTACGCACCCTCTGCTAGGCTTTTGTGACACGTCTATTCACAGACCTCAGTGTTGGTTGCATAACACGTTGGAGTTAGCCGGTGGTGTATTGATTTACAAAGTAAGCTGTGTGTAAGTTGTGTGTGTGTATGTGTGTGTTCAGGGAGATACACATATCTACATCTGAGGTCAAAGACCTGTTTTAATAGCTGCACTGTTCCCACAGCTTCCAATGAATCCCAGATAAGAGCGTGATCTGACTGTTGATTAGTTAGGCAGATAAGCAGAAACTTTGACACCCAGGTGAAGAAATATCCCAGATATGTTGCTTCAGAATAACCAAGGAAAAACTGAAATATGGATCAGTTTTAGCAACAGATAAATACCTGGATGTGAACCTAAAGAATTTACCCTTCCTATGAATTAAACTCCTTTTAATGAGACATAGCCCTTTATAGCTTAGATATTTTATGCACAAATTATGTTGTCAAACATGGTGGTTGATTTTGATGTGGACGATATGGCTCTTCATCCAGGGCAGCAAGACTTGAGGAATGAGAGGTGATTAGGCCTCTTGCAATAAGCAATAAATCAATTGATTGCATGATAAATTAAAAATAGCTCCATAATTTCCATTTGCTGGATTTATTGTTTTTCTCTTTTCTACCAAAATTGGTCTTCAGTCTGGTGTTTTGGTCTCAACTAGGCCATTTTTGAAGGACAATTTTGTTTACAGAGATGTTATAATTCATTTTATTTGTTGTTTCTGATGTTTTGGTCATTTATTTTGGATAAATAGCTAAATGATCATTAGAAAGTAAAGGTTATTGATCTTAAGAGTGTGTTCTTCCATTATTACGCCAACAGATTTATAATATTTGAAAATGGTCTCAAAGCAACAATATTATCGTTTATCGCAATAACTTCTGGGACAATTTGTCATCCATCAAATTTTGTTAACGTGACAGACCTAGAGGTGGTTGACAAAAAAAATGAAGAAGCAAAAGTTGAGATGTCAGTTGCACTCATTTCTTTTGTATTGCTTCTTTTGTCTGCTCAGTCCATGATAAACCTAGTGAACAGTCAAACCTCGGAAGGAAAACATGGCGGCACTCTCCAGGTGGCAGTTGGAAAAAACCCCGGGGGGGAATTTAACGTACGATAAAATGCGGCCTCGTTTTCTCTAGAAGCATGTTGCAACCTGGTGCGTACAAATGCTTGTGTGGAATCGCCACGCTTTTGAATCTGTTCCATCGAATCTTACAAATTCCTTTCCTTGATTTTTTTTTTTTTTTACAAGCTTCAGCTTATTGAGGTTTTAAAAAGTTACACTCTTCCAAAACGATAACTATTCCTCGTGCTATGCAGTTTGGAATCCTGTTTTTACCAAAGAGAGTGGTTTGGAGCAAAAAGTAGTGCAGAGTTGCACATCCCCTACAGGCTGCTGCACATTGCCTGTCAGCTGGAGAAAAGAAGAAATCTACTCTAAACGAAGACGACTAATTTGACTTATTTCATCTGAAACACATGAACAGCATTGGGGTGGTAACATCCGTCTTCTTAAAGTAACTCCATTTTGAGACAGGCACCTGTTAAGACGCCAATTTCGAATTTGCTAATTAACCAGCTAATATATCGGGTTGTAAAATCGTTAAAAGATAGAACATTCTGGAGAATCAAATCAACAAGAAATTGTTTTTAACATTATATACGAAGTAATCGATATGTTTAATTATTATAATGGAAGGTTGGTTTTAACCAGAACATTTTTAGCTTGGTTTAAGTGCTGCTCAATATTTTACAGATTTCTTAATGTCACTGAATGTTGCATCATGATATTTTACAGTATGATATATGTGGTATATGATGTCTTCATGAGGGGAAAAATCGATTTAGTGTGCCACGTTTCAATACAACCTTAAATAATTGTGTGTGATGACCTACATATTAATTTAATACAAGCATTGCCTGAACAATGTTGTCCTCATTCTACATGCAAGGCTGTAGTAAAGCTCCCTCAGCACAGACAGAGCATCATGTCTGTGATTTATCTATAACACTGTGCATCCAGACTAGGTCAGTGTCCAGACTTATACATTTAATGTAGAGTTTGTGGTTGCAGATGAAATCTGCTGCTGTCAACGCGCCTGCTGGCTGCATCCACAACAACATGACAGAGCAGAGAGCAGCAGCAGCAGCAGCCTGCGCCAAACGGCACATCGGCCAGCGCTGCAACATGATGCATTAAACAAACACACACAATCCATCACAACCACAAACCAACTTTACAACAAACACCCCGGATTCTACCCTGCGTGCATTCTCCCACCAAGAACCAGCCCGACTTACCACAGAGGAATCCGAGGCAACGCCAGGCGTCCTATCTGGTCCATTTCAATGCTGCGGGATTGTGCGCGGCTCCCGGACGGGTATTTTTCTTCTTCTTCTTCTTCTTCTTCTTCTTTTTTTTTTCTAACCAGGTTGATATCCGTCACCGCTCAGTTCAATACACTGCTGCTGCTTACACTGAGAGAACCGGCGGAAGGTCGCTCCCAAACAGTCCAGAGTTAATCTATCACACTGTCAACTCAAGCCCTCTGTTTCCCTTTCGCTCTGGCGCTATTAGCTGCGCCAAGTAAACACAGGTAGCAGGATGATGCGGAGCTCCGGCCTTTCAAAATAAAAGGACTCAGACTGCTGCTGTGGATGATTTGATTTCATTTAGCTGTCAGAAATGATAATGATAATAATAATAATAATAATAATAATAATAATAATAATAATAATAATAATAATAATAATAATAAAACACTAAGCATCTTAAATTTATATCAGCAATTATCTCAGATACACTCGATTTTATCTTCAAACTCAAACGATTATTAAAGCAGAGGCGGTTCTGTTATTATTGGTGCCCTGGGTGAACTTCTCTTCAGCCCCCTTTTCTCTTTCAGCTACACTAAACTAACAAGGCCCCTTCTGCGAAAAACAGAAAAATAAAAATATATTTTTTAACTTTCATCAAGAAAGTTATCCAAATCATCCTGTTTCGTAAAAATAATTATCTTTTTATTTGTTATTTTTAAGTATTTCTTTTTCAGTTTTACAAGTAGAAAAAAAACATTCAGATACAATGTTAAGTTCAACAGGTATTGTCATACTCTTCTGATATGTGTACATAAAATGGCCACTGACAGAGAAAAAAATATTAAGATTTGAATAGGCTGGGTCAGACTTTAGCAACAGGGGCAGCAATTTGTTTTGCAGGTGTAGGGAGACAAAACATTATTTTCCTTTTTTTTATGAATTTGTGTTTTGAAAACAGTGTACTTCATATTAAACTCAAAGGCCTATATATCGTATTAAATATTGTTTTAAGAATTTTCATGAATATAGACAATATTTCAGTATTTGAAAATTATGATGTGATAGTACACTTTTAGGAACAGCATGGAGGTAAAGCCCAGGGGATCTATTGAACCTACCATGCATCAGTTGATAGCTGCTCATGTATAAGACTACATATCCATCAATCAGTGTTAATATTATGACCACTTCCCTAAGAATAGTCCCCCGTTCTTCCAGAACCAGCATTAACTTCATCAGCAGTACAGGTGACAGTAGCTCATCTATTAGATTGGATCACATGGGTCTGCCTTCGCTTCCCACATGCATCAATGAGCCTTGGCTTCCCACGACCCCGCGTCGCTGAGTCATCAGTGTTCCAGCCCTGGGTCACTTTTCATAGATATTGACCACAGTGGACTGGGAACACCAGCCCAATATCCTTAAAACAGCAAGAGCTGCAGTTCTGGAGATGCTCTGATCCAGTCATCTAACCATCACAATTTATCACCTGTCAAACTCACTCAAACGACCAATATCTTACCCATTCTGCCCTCCTGTGATGCAGTACAGTAACTTTAAGGGAAAATAACCATCACAATTGCCAAATAATCCCACACACTAACAGGTGCCATGATGAAACAACAATTAAAATTTGTTAAAGTTATTCACTTCACCTGTTGCAATGTTAAGTCTTATCAGTGTACTGTAGATGTATCTATTTATAGATAAAAAAGTTTATCCCTCTAATAATAAAGGGGGATAAACTGTCTAAAACAAACTAGTGAACATGCTAAGATGCTTTAGAGAAAAAAAAAGTCAGTGAAATCACTTTTTTAAGTTATTACTAAACTGGAAACAACAAAGCAGACAAAATCTTTATTCAGTTTTCAGTCATTATTCAGCCATGTTTCCATGCAGGGTTTAGTGTGTAAAACGTTGGGGTAAACAGGCTTAAAATAAACTTAAAATTCAGCAATGGAAAGGAAAGCACATTAGGGCACATCTAATTGGACTCCCGAATGCTTGGCATGCCCTCTATGTCATGCCACCCTTAGCAGAGAGCCATACCACTCATATTAAAAGTCGCCAATATTTCAGATGAGCCTTTTACAAATTATTTAAGTAATAAGTTGGACAAATAAAGTTAAATGCATGTAATACTTCGTGAGCAATTATTCCAAATAAAACTGTTTAATTTTATATACATGTTAGAATAAAAGGGGATGTATATATAACCCAATTAAAACCGGATAAAATGCTAACATGAAAACTGGTTTTCTTTTGTGTACTAAAACTGAAATAGATTCTGCGCTTTTATCATGAAAGAATAATTGTTACCGTTTCCGGTTTGGTGCCCATGAATGACAGCGCCGTAAGCTCAATCGTCAGAGCTACGCACAGAAAGCAGCGCGTTTATCAGCCCTGATAATGAACAGATTTAACTTTTGCCTTCTTCTTTCCACCTGACTTCTGTTCATTTGACAGTTTGCTGTAATGCTATAAAACGCACTAACAGCGTGAAGGTGACATGAATTAAATTATGCTGCTCAGGTGTATGAAAACACAGTGATTGGATTAAAACAGCCTCTAACCTCTCCGGTCAGTTCATCCCCTTAATTGTTTTTACGGAAGTCGACGGCTGGCTAACAGTGGTGACAGTGTGTGTGTGTGTGTGTGTGTGTGTGTGTGTGTGTGTGTGTGTGTGTGTTGGCATCGCTCTTTGTTCCTGTTCTCTTCACTCAACCAGCTGGGCAATGTTCAAGTGTACCATTATGCAATATTTACCAGCTCCGCCTGAGATCTGAGCAGCAACCTGTTTGGCTGGTTGCACTGTCTCTCAGCACGCGGGCCTGTTTCAGCCAGGACCCGATTGCAGGCTCTATAAAAAGACACCAAGATGGCTCCTTCCATCAGCAGCAGCGGATAGTAACGAACAAACACAAAAAAGACAACACACCGTCTCCGGACAAGATCTTAAACAGCATTTTCCTCCCTCTCTTAAAAGCTGAGATTTAAATAATGAAATATCTTGCTTTGTTTCTCTGCAATACTAAATTAGCCAACACCGCCCCCTAGTGGACATCTAGCAAAATGGCACGGTGGTAAAATTCCTGGCTTTTGTCGGATTCATACGGAGTACCTTGTAATTAATTTGTAAATACACTCTGATACACAGATGCAGTATGTACACTGTAGTGACTATTTGTTCAAAAACAAAAAATCTTAAGACTTCAAGGTGATCAAAGCAAAAGTGAATTCAACTCAAATAGCCACTTGATGCACAGAGGGTTTATGGCTTACGCAGCCACCCCCCCCCCCCCCAAAAAATAAAAATAAAATAAATAATAAGCCAAAAAATGCAGTTCTTTGTTGCTTTATTCCACAGTTGAACATGGTACAAGCATATGAGGCCTAATGTTTGGCTACCTGATTGTCTCACCTGCGGACTGACTGACTGGGTGAAGTTACTGACTGGTAGACTGACTGTCAAAGTAACTGGTAAACTGGTAAAAAAAAAAAAAAAACCTTGTGACCACCCACGTGCATAATGAGCTACCTAAACCTACGTATTTATACTGTGAAACACCCATGTCCCAAACTGAAATTAACTAGTTAAACAAATTGCTAACCACCAAACTTATTCTGAATAAGTAAAATTAAACAAAAATTCTAATTATAAATCAACCAGAAAATAAACAAATAAAAATAAGCTAAATAATCTAAATTCTAAAATTTAACTGAAAATAGAGAAATAGCTCCTACATACATAGAAAACGTTTGAATTCCTGTATTTTCAGATTTTAGTTGAATCAAAATTAAAACCCGTGTTTTAGTTTTTTTTTTTTTGTTTGTTTGTTTCAGTGAAAAGGTGTCCATGCATTATTTGGTGCGGAAAACAGGTTGTCTGTGTGTTCATGTTTGTTTATGTAATATATCTTCCGGGGACAAATAAAAAGTAGCAGGAGACGGGACTGCACATGAAAACGTGTAGTTTATGAAACAGACTACCGACTCGAAACACATAGAACCAAAACTACCAGCAGATGGCGGTATTACCCCGTGAAAATTGCTCAAAATAGTCCAAATAGTTTGGGTGGCTCAACCCTTTTACAATAAGGCTCATCTTATAAAGTTTATAGATACCTTATTAATTTTTTAACACTTCATCATAAACATGAAGTGTTAATGATGATCCTTCAAACGGTGAAGGAGTGACGTTTAATGCATCACTCCTTCACAGTGATGAGACTTTATGCTAAAAAAATTACAAATGCTTGTGCTCACAAGGTAGTTTGAAATGAACAAATATCATTTGGCAAGATACATGTAGATTTTACCTTCTCATCCTTAAATAATACTAGAGTTATTTATTTATAAAGTGCTAAGAGAAAATGTATATATTTATAAACTATGTTAGCAACCTACAGTAAAGTAGCTTTATTCTAAAGTAGTATCCTCTTTTCTTTATTTCCTTCCTTCTTACAGAAAGTTTATGTCTTGGAGTAGGAATGTAAAGCCCATGTTTGATCTGTCTTCTCTTTATTTTGTAGTTTGTGGTGAATTTTTATCTTAAATATATCAAACTTAGGATATCTTACAAACAAAATGTTAAAGTCTTTAAAAAATTATATTGTAACAGGACAACTCATAGACTAGTAAAAACATTATTGTGAGGGAACATAATTTCACAAGAAACCGATATTACAGGCCACGTTAAAGAACCAGAAGAGTTAAAGACCATTACTCTACATCACAGGTGTCAAACTCCAGTCCTGGAGGGCCTCTGCCCTGCAACTTTTAGATGTGCCTCTGCTGCACCACACCTGAATAGAATAATTATGTCGTTAGCAAAGCTCTGGAGAACTCATCTACACAAGGAGGAGGTAATTAAACCATTTCATTGCAGTGTTTTGTACCTGTGTCACATCTAAACACTGCAGGACAGCGACCCTCCAGGACTGGAGTTTGACACCCCTGCTCTACACTGACATGACGATATACTTCGTTTATGTTAGCCTCTGATGCAACAGGGTAGAATAATTAATATTTTATTTGCTTAAATTTGTGTTAGACACTGGTCAGTCATGGGACACTGCCATGCAAATTTTATGCATGTCATTGCTTTGACAAAACCAGTCATAACCAGAAAGCTAAAACCTATAAACTATTTGTGCAAACTGTTAAACATGTTGCTATGGTAATCAATTCCTTTCAAAGGAGTGGATTGATGCAGGGAAACGGGTTGAATTGAACAAATGGACTGGAACACACTGACCCATTAAAGTTTAGAGAAGTCTGCCTATTTGGCAGGTTTTG